GAGGGATGTGGACAACATTGAAAGGGTCCAGAGGAGGGCCACCCGCATGATCCAGGGACTACAGGGCAGACCCTACATTGAAAGACTGCGGGACCTAAACCTGTTCAGCCTTCACAAGAGAAGGCTGAGGGGGGACCTGGTGACTGTCTATAAACTCACTAGGGGGGACCAGAAGGGTTTAGGGGAGACACTGTTTCCCCTAGCGCCCCCCGGCATGACAAGGAACAATGGACACAAATTATTAGAGAGTAGATTTAGATTACACATCTGCAAGAATTACTTCACAGTTAGGGCAGTTAGGAGCTGGAACCAACTTCCTAGGGAAGTGGTGCTGGCTCCTACCCTGGGGATCTTTAAGAAGAAGCTTGATGACTACCTGGCTGGACTCATTTGAGTCCAGTCTTTTCTCCCGCCCAGGCAGGGGGTCGGACTTGAAGATCTACAAGGTCCCTTCCGACCCGACTTCTATGATTCTAAGCTGAGGAAATTGGGTCATGCTGAGGAAAAGTTTGGGAAGCACTAGAATGATGTCCTAGGATGGTAAAGCAGGGGTTCTTATCCCAAATGCATTATTAGCATAAATTTCTCTGACCATCCATAATCCCTTAACTTCCACACATAATAAAAAAGATACAAAAAATAAATTAGCATTTTTTCTAAAATGTCATAAATAGTATTCCCTACTTTAGCTGCTGTCCTTTAAATCGGTGGTTCTGAACTGGGGCACTGTGGCCCCTTGGTGGGTTGTGAGCAGGTTTCAGGGGGTCTGCACTACACCCCACCGCACCTCCCGTCCATAGTAAAGCTGTGGCATGAGGGGAGCAATGGCTGGGTCATAGCAGCAGGGTAGTGCTGCAGCCCAGCATGCTAGCGGCTGGTAGCAGGAGGAGGTGAGGGCAGCAAGGCCCTCTGCTCCAGCCTGTTACTCCTTGAGCTGCTAGTGGCACATGGATGGTGTGGGGGTTCTGGTGGTGGCAGCAACAAGTATTGCCGCCCTGCTCAGCCCTTCCATGCCAGGTCCTGCCTGCTGCGCCATGGAGAAAGTTCCTCCCTATGCTGATCTGGCCAGGCTGCAGCCCAGCGCTCACCATGGGCACAAAAATCGGGGGGGGAGGGCTATGTACCCCTAATGCATCCCTATGTCCCTTTACCTTGCCTATGCCCTCCCCGCACACACTGGATATGCAGAAAAGCAGTTGTTGTGGCACACGTGGGCCATGGAGTTTTTGCAGCATGCTAGTGGGGCCTCAGAAAGAAAAAGACTGAGATCCTCTGATTTAGATTACCTGCTAAATTCATTCATGGCTTTACTACATGTAATGTTAAAATCCATCCCAAATTTTAACTCTTGCCACTACATTAAATGCCTACATAAAAAATTGCTTACATTAACAGTTCAACATGTGCGCACATGAATGCACACAAATTTATACCCTCCTTTTTTACTTTCTATTAAAGCTTAATGATAATGAAAGACATTTTCTATAATATAATGATCTGCTTATCAAGGAAGTGTGCTTTATTTTGTAACAGACAATTTTAGATAGAGAGAATTTTTTTCTTCCACACTGTTGCACATTACATTCCTCTGCCTACTTCCTCTTCAAAGGATCTAAGGTTACAGCACTTAAAAATGGACATTATGTAAGTACGTGCACACACTAGAAATCTGTAGCTACAAAAGTGACAAACAAATTTACCTTTGCCATTTGTTCTGCCAGTTGTAGACGTCCATCTAGCTCACGTCTGATCTGAGCTGCTTGTTCATCTGCATTATCCAGCTGAGATATAAAGCAAACAAATTGCAAAAATTAATCATGTAGGATATGCTCTGGTAGAATGGAGCATTTTTATTTTATAGAGTTTAAATATTTAAAAAACAAAGGACTAGCAGAAAAAATACATCCTCTATTTGAATATAACAATTTCTGAATAAATATTACGGTCTGACTTTCAGCAAAAATATAAGAAATGTACATTTGAAGGTGAGACACAAGTTTTAATCATGGCAACTACAAATGCAGAGTACAGGGGTGGTATTGGCTATTCTGTCACACAAAGGGAACAGTATAGAATAGTTGTGCCTAAAACTTTCCAGGTTTTCCTTCACCTTATTCATTTGTTAAATTTACATGCTTCTTTCCCCTCCAAAGATGTTCAGGGTAGGTTACAATAAAAAACAAAATAACGTACCAAGACAGAATAAAATATTAAAATATGATAGTGTAACAAAAGAAATTCCCCCACTCCCACTCTGCTACCTCTCCCCAAGAAGAGAGTTCCATTCCCTCCTCAGCCCCTATCCATTATCTCTATAAAAGATAAAGATCTTTTTCTTCACATTCCCTCCCATCCATACCTATTCCCACTCTTTTGCTTCACATCCTGGTAAGTCTCCCTCCCCCTTAATGTCCCACCCAAGTCCATACCTCTATCTGTCACAGGGAGGCTATGGCTATCTTACCCCACACTCTCTCCTGCCTCACACCATTCCCTTAATGACCCTCGAAAAATCCATAATTCCCCCTTCCACAGTAGTTGTTCCTCCCTGTCACGGCACGGGGTCCTAGGAGCGGCCGTGATCTCTTCTAACGCCCCTACCGTGCCAAGTTAGGTATAAAGCACCCTCGTTCTCACCCATCACGTCTTTGATGGGATCTATATTTATAATGACTGCCTCTTGTCCCCTTGGACACGGTGCTCTGGTCTATCCTGACCCCCAGTTCTTTATGGACCAACTTGGCATGCCCCAGCCTTATGGGCTATGCGTGGCTCCAAGCTCCCCTATACCACGCCTCGCAGATGTCATGGACATTGTCTTGGTCGGTTTCCTTTCTGCGCCCACTCACTGGCGCCCCCAGGCTTGTCACGCAGCCAGCGCCAACTCACTGGTGGCCCCGGACTTGTCACGCAGCCGGCGCCCACTCACTGGCACCTCTCACAATTGGGGCTCAGGTGGCCGTAGCCATGCCCGGCCCCCAAATCCCCTCTTTGGGTCTTACGCCCACTGGGCTCCTTACAATTGGGGCTCAGGTGGCCGTAGCCATGCCTGGCCCCTGAATCCCCTTCTCGGGTCTTCAGTTCCTGCGGGGCTCAGGCAGCCTTGTGCCTACCTGGCCCCCAATCCTCTATGCCCCTTCTCAGGGCTAGGGTCAGTGCCCCCTGAACGTTGTGCCCTCTCTGGGCTTCTTGCCTGTGCGCCCCTCCCTGGGGCTTCTCGGCTATGCTCCCCTCCCTGGCGCTTCTCTCTGCACTCAGGGCTCAGGTGGCCTTAGCCGTACCTGGCCCCTAAATCCCCTACTTGGTTAACCAATTCCTGTGGGGCTCAGGCAGCCTCGTCCTTACCTAGCCCCTGTCCTCTGTGCCCCTTCTCAGGGCTAGGGTAGTGCACCCCTAAAATGCGGTGCCCCACCACTGTGGAGCCCCACTGAGGCCTCCCCTCCAACCCCTATTAGCCTCACCCGGTCCTCTGGTGTCATAACAAACAAACCAACACAATAACACTAGTCAACCGTCTATAACTCTCATTCAAGTCCCTACCAGGGCCTCCTCCACCCAGTATCCTTGACCAGAAGCTGCTCAGGCCATCAGGCTTCCCTACTCTGCTTACTCTCACAGAGCTCCTTCTTCCTCGGCTGCCAGAGGGAAACTGCCTCCCTGGCCTCAGCCTGGATCACCTTTATATAGGTCAGGCCCTGCCCCCTTCTGGTCAGCTGACCAACTGCGGTTGCCCCGGCAACCAACACCTGTCCTTCTATAGGAGCAGGGCACCAGAGTGCCCCTGCGACACTCCCATCCACTCTTCCTTCCCTTCTTCCCCAAATAAACACTGTATAGTATTCATTAAAATATACATATATCATGGGACTGTAGGCCACTCCCATCCCTGCCAAAGGCAAAGCCCATCCCTGCAATGCAACTCATCACCTACCCTAGGGCAACCTGCATTCCCTATAAAGGGGAGGGATATCAGCAGCCCCTACACTAAGCTGGGGGCTGCTGCAGTCCCTGGAGGAACTACAGGGCTACCAGAAACAGCAGTTCGCAGCCCAGGACAGCCTGCAAGACAGTTTATGATGACAAAGCCTCCAAAAATGTATCAATACTCCACAGGCAACAGAACACAGGGTCCTCTTTCAAAGATTTTAAAATTAGTATTTTAGAGAGATGGAGTGAGTGAGTGACAAAAAACAGAGATGATAGAATAGGGAAGTTTTCATCTGATGCATGTACAAAATTTCTACCAATAAAAGTAGATGGAACGAGTAGGAAATCCCTTAGACGTCTTTAAACATAATACTGTTAAGTTCCAGGGTGCTAATGACTGCCACCGTGGTTTGATGGTGGCAGTCATTAGCACCCTGGTGGTTTGATCCACAGATCTTGTTAAAGTTAATAGCTTGCTATGTGCTCATTGATTGGGCTACATGAATACAGATATTTATAGTCCTTCATGAAGTAAAATAGCTGAAACTATTGGGAAGCTAGGGCCGGAGCTGCTGTCAGTACTGTTGCTGCATGGCTGAGCAGAGACTGGAGCAACTGTGTGCTCCGTGTCCCGGGCCAGAGCGAGTCAGAGCTGGAGCTGTGGAGGCTAAGTGGGGGGTCGGGTAGGGGGGAAGGGGAGCAGACTTGAGGGTGCAAATAGCATAAGCAACAGGAAGGGGTCAGGAAGCTTGTCTCTCCTGCCACCTCTCCCCATGCAGTGGTGGTGGTGGGGGGGAGAATTTAAAATGACTCTCCAACAGTTAGATTCTATACATGGAAGATTATAATGACTTTATGGGGGTGGGGGGGAAGGGATCATCTTGAATTTAAAATCACCTTGGATTCAGGTAAATACCATATACTGACTAATCCTAATGAAAATTAAAGCCAACAGAGGTACGAGCTCAAGGTGTAATGACAAGTATTCTACATGTATTTTTAAAATTACATAGAAGGAACTGACTGGGTCAGGTATTAGCGATGTGCTAAAAAGCCTTCCAATCCTATTTCATTAGGAATAAAGCACTGCTACATTTTGATGGCTCTCTCTACCCTTGCAGCTATTCAGCCAGATGTACAAGACAAACCAAGAGGACAAATATTGAAATGTATCCCAAAAAATTCCAAACTTGGGCTTAGTAAGAGAAAGCAGGTTCCAAGTATGAAAAGTCCTTGACTGGCGCATCCACTGATCTACTCCCAGTACAATCTGAGGCAAAGACAACAAACCACTCGGGCCGGATGTAAATGTCTCAGTTCAAATATAATCCTGCATTTTATGAGAACCTACATAAATCCCAACACAAGACTGAAATGGTAAGATGCTGCTTCTTTAATGTAGTTTCCCCCCCCTTTTTTAAATTACAGAGTTATTTTTTGCTTAATTAGCCTGAAAACCCTTGAAATAAGTAATATAACTTTGTTTTGGATCTGTATAAAGTAGGTCAAAATTCTTTATATCTTAAGAAAATATCACAGGATAAAAAAAATCATTAAATAAGTATCAGTTTGAAGAGAATTTAGATAGCTAAATTATATATTCCTGCAAAAAAGAAAAAAGGTTTTTTTCCAACATTTCCTTCAGCTGCTCAAGGACAGCTTTAATGACTGGCTCTCTTATTTACTTGGTTAAATAGCCAAAGCTTTGGATTAAAGACTGAATTCTTTACTTATTTTTCCACTTAAGAAACATACACTAAATGATCACTTTACTTAATGTGTGTATGTTTTTTTTTAATCTGTCTTGAGGAAGCTTGGCATCTTTTAGTTTCCACAATATTTAAGGCAGCCTGTTAGTTGTTTATAATCAACTGCTTGAAAAAAAAAAGTTTTTTTTAATTGCCGTTTCTTCTTGAATTATACATTAATTATACGTGCTTCATTAATTTACAGTAAGCAAGGAACCAAGACTAGAGGGCTACAGTGTAGAAGAGTCTGCTCCAATAATTAAGAAATGTTCATGTGTACTTTACATGATCTTCAACAATACAAATTTTAGTTGATTTTTCAGGCATTTAAACCCATCAGTTTCAGTTACTGCACATGCCCCCAAGTGAAATACAAACCTTGTTTTAGTAAGGCAAGGCAAAATGAAGAAAAAAGAATTTCCCAGTCATGCCTGAATGCTGACTTCAGGGGATCCTGATGACAGTGGCTGTGGCAGTGAGAGGGTTAACACTGTAAGCTCTGACCTTGAAGACTGAACTCCATCCCCTCCCTCCATGAGGATGACAGAGGAAGGCATCATACAGTAGTGTTTGGATAACTATTTTTCCAAGCTTCTGTTCCAGAAAAATATAATCCGCTTCCTCACTTAAGACATGCACCCTAATTTGGTGGGACCGATTTTTAGAAAAAGGAGCATGTAGTATATAAGCAAATACAGTAATTTTTTTGCCATGGTGAGAACTTATGCATCAAGGTTTGGGTTCTCTCTCACTCAACTGCAACTGGGTCATATGTGAAAGGAAGCGAGTCAGCTCCTATTCCGGTTACTAGGCACCTGAATGGACTTGGGTGCCTAAGAGTGAGCCTATTCCAGGCTGCTTGAGTCCCTGAAAAACAGAAAATATACAAGATACATGAGCCCTCCTCTTGTTTGATGCTCGTTGTGACTCAGTCTGACAGCTAAGATGATGGTGTGTTTCAACAATGGGCATGTTAACATTTTTTCCAGGAACTTGGCAGGGTGAAATAGGATCACACTTTTAGCCCCTAATACATGAAATAAAATCTAGCTATGTGCCTCCATTGGAGACATGCATGCTTTTTTGTTGTTGTTTTTTTTAATGAA